AACTGAGCCACACGGCCGGCCCTGGAATTCTTCTTTTTAATTGTACAAATTTATGTTCTGTGCAAGAATAAAATGAAAGAAGGGCCGGCCGAGTGGCTCAGTTGGTTAAGAGCTCGCTCAAGAGTTTCAATTCTGAGCAACAGCGGTTCGAGTCCAGCCCGAGCCGAGCAGCCGCTGAGCTGCCAACAGGTAGCAGGATGGCTCAGCTAAAAAAAAAAAAGAATAAAATGAAAGAGTAGGCTTAAAATTTGTGTAATAGTCAAAGGAATCATAGAGACAACTTACTTGGTGAATTCCGTCTTTAAAAATATTGAAGACTTCCTTATTGAAAAAGAGGAGTCTGAATGCAGGTAAAAAGACAGAACCTATAAATATAATGAAGCTGAAATAGTTATATTTCAATTAACATAAATTTTTAAAAATTGAGACTCTTCCATTTAGTAGAAATTGCTCTGAGCTTACTAGGTGAGAACCTAAAGAGGGTATTTTCTTACTGAAAAATATTGTGATCTAAAGAAAAGAATCAACTAAGTCTCACTTTAAATTTATTAACCATAAAATGCAACTCTGAAGACTGTAGCCAATTTTATAAGAAAAATAAGATTACATTGAAAAAGATATACTTTTTCAGAAAAATATCAGCAATACCATTTTAGAGACATGCTAAAAAAACTGATTAAAGTGCATGAATATGTACTATAAAATTCTGCTTATGTTAGTGTTTAGATTATGTGTTTAATGTTTAGATAATCAATGTAAAGAAAAAAATTTTAATGTTTATGTCACAAATGTTTTTTTAGGAAAAACTGTTTTGAAATAATTTTTTCAATAGGAATATGTTATATATCTACCAAAACAGACTAATTTGCCAATCAATAGAAAACTTAAAAACTGTAATTTTAATTGTAATTCTCTCAAAATCCTTCTCTCCATTCTCAAAGGTGTACGGGTTTAGATGATAAATTAAGAAATCTACTGTGAGTTTCTGAGCACAAGGACTAATTCTATCAATTCCTTTATCCTCTTTAGGACATAACTACAAAAAGCCAATAATTCCATAGGCATTTCTCACATCTGGATTCTTCATCCTCACAGAGCAATGTTCCTTCCTTTAGCAGACCACACCTCCCTACTCTTTCCACTGGGCCTCAGGAGATTCATGCTCAGGCACCAGCAAAATCTCTATATCCTCAGCTTTTTTTTCTGAACATTCCTCTGAGGACACTGCTTCCTCCTCAGCCCTCTTAAGTGGTGGCTGGTTTCTTTTCCACATCCCTCCAGGGCCTAGAAGTGGGCCTTCCTTACTTCAATCAGTACCACCACTTCCATTTTATTGCCACACCCTTTTAAAACAAGAAAAGTTTGAAACTGCCATCACACCACCTACAGATTCTTAAAGAGAAATCTTCCCTTTTCCCTAAGGATTTTTGGCACAAGGCTCGTTGTTGTTCTCTAACAACACTATTCCTATCATAATTCTTAGTGTTTTCAATATCAATGCTGATGAAACCTTCTAATGCTCAATCTCATCCTCTATCCCATCTCAGGGTCCCATGGTCATAGCCTAGATTTTGTTTTTACCAATATTGCAACTGCTTCATGATCTGAACTTCAATCATCCTAATCACTTATCTTTTCACCTTATACTCTTAATACCCTAACTCCAAAGTTTTAATTCTATTAGGATCTACAATCTAATGAAACTACCTTTCACCATCTCTCTCTTCAAGTTCTCACATCCCTCCTAATCTGGCTTACATTTCATAGTCTGTCATTAAAATTACTTCTCTGCATTACCTTCAAACACCCTGGCCCCCTTTCACTTTGTCATACCTACCAGGCAAAACCCCAACCCTGGTTAAATCCAACTCTCCGCCTATTGGTAAGTTTGCACTTGCAGAGCTAAATATGGCTGGAAAAAAACATATAACCGGGTTGTATGTCTTACTTTAAATTCAAGATCACTAACCTAAAGCAGGCCTTTAGTGCTGCCCAGAAACCCAACTATATTCCCTAGTTCATTCAGTTTTCCCTCTCTTATAACCATCTATCTCATATTTACTCCTCTTTCTTCAAACCTCCACTTCCTCCCCAGTTTCAACTAATGACTTTACTACCTATTTCACTGAGAAAACAGAAGCAATCTATAGAAATTGTCCATATGTTCTCCGCAACCCTTCTAGGTGCTCCTTCCCTCCACTTAGGAATTTGACCATGCTCCTATCATTGGCAAGTCTGTACCTCTTTGTACTATATACGAGCGCCTCCCATCTACTCAAGGACACCACTCCAGCAAGTCTCCCTCTTTCTACTTATCTACTTATGTAACATCAACTTATCCCTCACTATTAGGTCATTTCCACTAATATACATGCTGTAATCTCTCTCACCTTAAAACAAAATCTTTCCTGATCCCACATTCCTATCCAACTACCCTCATTCTTTGAGTGTCATACTCACTAATTCCAATTTCTCCCTTTCCATTTTCTTGGTTCTGTAGCAACAAAGTTTTCATTCTTACCACTTCATTAAAAGCTCAAGATTACCTATGGTCTCCATATCACTAAAACTGATGGTGAATTCTCAGTCCTCAACTTGACCTACCAGCAGCATTTGACATAGTTTATTATTTCCTCCTCAAAATGCTTACTTTGGTTCCTCGACATTCTTATATTTTGGTTTGCTACCTTTTTAGCACCCCTTCTTAGTCTCCTTAATTGGACCCTCCTTCTCTAACTTGATCTGTAAATATTTTGGATTGTCCCATGGCTGAACCCTTGAACTTTTTTTCTTAACTACATTCATTCTCTCCCTAGGTGATTTCATCCAACTTCATAGCATTAAATATCATCTCTACATGGACAATTCCCAAATTTAGATTTCCAGTCAGGACCTTAATCCTCAATTCTAGGAGGCATCAACTAAAGATGTAGATTTCTATCTCTAATTCACATTTCTTCTCTATGCTTTAGATCCATTTATCCAGCTGTATACATCTCTAGTTGGATACTCAAAAAAATCCTACATAAAACAATGTCCAAATGCAAACTCATTATTTCCACGCATGTTCTACCTCTGAAATATGTTCCTCTCCAAGTGTTTTGAATATATGCAAATGACACCATCATTTCCCCAAATGTAACATCCAGAATCATAGTTGTTATCCTGGGCACCTCCCTTTCCTTCATCCTCAATATCTGATCCATCCTGTTGATTTTTACCTTTTAACTATTTCTTGAATGTATCCTCTTTTCTCCATACTCACATCTACTCTAGTCCAAGCTTCCATCACACTCAACCAGACTAAAAGATACCTTCTAATAGTCTCTCTGCATCCACTCCTGCTTCTTTTCCAATTCATCCTCCGTATACATCGTCTCAAAAACAAGAGACTGATCATATCTCCACTCTGCTTCAAATCTTTAATACTTTCCTACTGCTTTTATTATAGTTAATGAAGCCCAAAAGGTCTTGGATAGGATGCCCACTGCTACCTTCACAGATCCATCTCCTGTCAACTTCTGCATCACTCTGCACATTTTAGCACCGCCAGCTTTCTTTCAATTTTTTGAGCATACCATATTCCCTACTCCCACTGGGCCTTTGCACATGGTACTCCCTCTTTCTTGAATGCCGATACAAACACCCAATCGCTACCACCACCTATCTCTTTATACTTCTTAATGTTGGCTCAGTCTTCAGATCTCATTTCATGAAACACTTCCTTAGAAAAGTCTTCCCTGCTTCTTCAAACTTCCCCTTATATAGGCTTATCATTGCACATATTACTTAATATTTCTAAGTATAATTCTAAATGAACTCTTTTTTATTAATTTGTGCTCAATGTCTGTCAATCTAAAAAAACCTTAAAGTCAATGAAGGAAAAGATTGTGCTTTGTTTGCACTATTTTAACTCTAGCCCTCAGAATAGACACGCAAATATTTTTCAATGAATGCATCAATAAAGAAGTGACAGTGAAAGCCACACAACTGAACAGGGCTGCATAGGAATGGAATTTAGAAAGATAAAAGGGACCAGAATATCCCTGGGTAAATAGCATCATTTAGGAATGAAGAAAATAGAAAAAAAAAATCAGAAAGTTAAAAACAGCAACAAAGGAAATAGCATCACAAAAGCCAAGAGAAGGCAAAATACCAAAAAGATACAATGGGCTACTGAATTTGACAAACCTAGCGAACTGACAAAATAACTAATAATGTGAGATGCGGCAAGAAAGTGAACAAAGGGAAAATATGGGGGAAAGCTCACATCTTTCCAACTCTCCTGGAAGTAAGATTTTTACACTGGTTAACTTTTTTGATATACTTAAACGACCATGACGGCCCGAATCAAACAATAAATCTAAGAAAAATATATGTGCCATTTTAAACTTTATTTTTCTATATTTGTATGAGTCATTTTTGGCTGACTACTTATATGACATATGAGAATAAATATTCTAACATTTACACATGAAATGTTTTTTGTTTCTTCAAGTACGTTACCTCCCAGAATCATCAAAACAGACATCTGTGTGTCCCTCTGTATGTCCATATCTCATCGGCTTCTGTGTGGCAGGCATCTTTTCCTTTACCTACCTGAAAATGTTTATAAAAGCTAGTATTATTTTAAAGTAGAGGAAAGCCCGGGGATGAAGGGTAAGAACGGGGATTAGTCTCCTCCTGAGCACGCTCTCAACAGCCCCTTTTCCTCCCATCCGAGTGGCACAAACGGAAAAAACAGAGGGTCTGTGAAACGATAAACAGGGAAGAAGACACGCTTCTTTTTGGCACGAGCAGCGGGAGGAAAACTCACCCGAGTGACCGACCCTCCGCGACTGAAGACGGAGGAAGCAAGCAGCAGTGCAATACCGCTTCCCGCGCTCAGGCGAGCTGGCCACACTACGCCTGCGCCGGCCCACCCACAACAGCCGGCGCAGATCCCGACCGAGGTCGCCCGCTGATGACATCAGCTTCGCGCCGGCTGCTAGGGAAAAAAAGCCGGTTGCTGGGAGAGTGAGGAGGAAAGGGAGGAAGCGGCACACGGAAGTGGTGGCCGTGCTTGGGGAGCCGGTGGAGGCGGTGACCGCGACGTCTGAGACGAAAACCCAGCGTCGAGGGGTGGGAGCTTGCAGAAAGGCATCCACCTTGTAGGACCTACATGAGGTGCAGGAGTGCCTGGGCTTCCTTGTTCACCTCAGCTAGCACCCAGACTGATGGCGATGGTGATGGCGGCAGTTACTCGGACAGCCCCAGTTAAACTGCTCTTAGAGAGGTGAGTGGGGGAAGGGTGGTTGCTGCCTGGCCTTGCCAATTGGTGGGTCCGCAGCTACCTTTCAGGCTCTCCTCACAAGCAACCATGTCGAGGTCCTTGAACGGGTCCAGCCCTCCTTGGGGCCGGGCTGGAGAATGAGATCTTTGGGCATCTTCTCTAGAGAGAAGGAAGACGAGACCCTTCTAAAGCCTTTCATCTTGGCATCCTTCGCACCCTCATCTCATTTCTATAGAGATAAAAAGAAGGGAAAACTTAATCTCATTTTGCGATCCTTGGAAGTATGGCGTGTACATTAATGCTTAATCTTTGGGACTCGACATATATCCCTTAAGAAGAAAGTAACTTGAATTTTCCTGTTCAGACCCCACCTCAAGTTCACTGAAGTGCGTATTTGGATCAAAAAGAGGGGCTAGAACTAAACTATATATTGTTGAATACTTCGTTCGGTCCCTGCAATCTGTACTCAGGTCTTGGCCATTAAGTTTATGCTTTGCTTATGTCTTCAGTTCTCCATGTTGGTAGACCGGTCTCTGATGACAACCTTCACAATGTGTGTGTGTGTGTGTGTGTGTGTGTGTGTGTGTGTGTGTCTGTCTGTATGTGTCTGTCTGTCTGTCTGTGTGTTCCCCACCACCTAGTCTCAGTGATACCTAGTTTCTGACATTAGTGAGACGTTTTTCTGTTGTAGAGATTTCCCCCATTGTTTTTCAATATCTTGCCACTGTGAAAGATTGCAAACGCATAGTTAGAACAACCGCGGTATTGTTCTTACCGTGCTGGCATTGTATAAAGGGTTGTTTTGAGTACTGGGGCTCCCCACATAGGCCTCTTAGACACTAAAGTTTGGTATATGAATGAAGAAGAGTGAATGGCTGAAAAAGAACTTGGGATTTGTGGGGAAATAACCAAGATATTGTTAATTTTTAGTAGAGCAAAAGATAACCTAATACGGCTCTTTCTGAGTGACTTGATAGTATTTGGAGATCATTCTTTTTTTAAATAGGCTGATTTATATATTTTTTATCCAAGTAAATATCATGGGATAGACTGTAGGGTTCAAGCTAAACTCTAATAATATTCGTCTATATTGAATAAATCATAAGATTTCAGTGTCGTACTATTCAGATTTCAGCATAAGAAAAATCTGCAAATTGGAACAAGAGTTATAGCTATAAAATGCCCTAACTATAATATCTATAATGCCATGTGACTTTAAAATTATGAATGGTGTCCACACTTCTGTCCTTTATCTCTGCATTAGAAATCAAACCATTTGATTAATAGGTTAAAGAAGGTTTTCCTTTACAAATTTCACATGTATGGAAAGAGCTTGGGCCTTAGAGTTGAGTAGCCCTAGGATTTAATTTTGACTGACAGTTACTCGTGTGACCTTGAATATGCTTCTTTACGTTTTTTACAGACATCTCATCTCTAAAATGTAGATGATACCTGCCTCCATCGAATTGCCAAATATATAGGAGATATTCATGGATGTATAAAACTAATTATTATTAATGTCTCGTGTTATTAACAGGGTACTCTGGGTGAGCATTTAGTGGTTTCATTTAAAATGGAGTTGGTTTAAGTCATTATCCAGTAAAATTTTCAAATATTAAAAGATGTAGTCTTGCTTTTGCTAGTATGTATTCACAATTCCATTTCTTTTCAGTCAAAAGCCTGCAAATTTTAATGTCATCTGTATTAGTTCATGGTCTTGTTGAGGAAAACACATTTAGATGATATGTACAAGATCATAGTGTGGTAATGAAAAGTATATAACTTAAATGTTAGCAAATTTGTCTGGTTATTTAAGGTCACATAGCTTTAAAAAAAAAATAGCCAGTATAGTTGTCTGTCACTGATGTGGCTGTCAAAATTTTCCAAATGGATTTATTTATTATTAATAGTGCATGTCTCATAGGAGTGGGTAGCTGAATGAACTCACTGAAAATGATGCCACGGTCGCAGATTCAGTTACAGTGACGTTTCGTTAGCTTTGCTCTGTTGTGACCACTTATAGTAGTACCCTTAGGCTCACAGATATTGTTGGTCACAACAGAAGAGCAATAGAATGAGAGAACTGTTCTCATTCTATTGAATGAATGAACATATTACCATTTTGCTGATAGTGGTATTATCTATGTAAATAATAATATTATATAATTTTAGTTTATCCAAGAGGCATATCAGTATTGCCTTATGGAAGGAATTTTTAAAATACCTTTTCAATAAGATGATGTATTTGATACAAAAATCATTAACCCTGTGAAAGATAAGGCGGGAAGAGTGTGTAACAATAACAGGAGAACAGAGTATTGGAAAAATAACATAGAAAGCAGTTTAGAAATCTGAAGATGTTTTACCTTTGAAAGTGTCCTGAAACTTACCAGCCTTTTAAATTCATTTGTGGGGTAAATAATACTTGCAAATGTGTATACCTCCTAAGGTATAAAAGGGAATATAGTGAAAATCCTATTGCCAGTTACCTAGCTCCCCTGCCTAAAAACAGCCAGTATTTGAGTCTTGTGTTGTTACATTAACACTGGATCCTTACCACAGAAGACAGACATAATCACTGTTTTATCAATGGAAAAGCTGAGTTTCAGAAAGATTGTGATTTGTCCAAGGTCAAATGTCCTACCAAATGTCAGAGCTGCAAATAGAAACCAGGTCTTTTACCTTCTAATCCAAGGTAGTATTATTACACTGCCTCTCCAAATTTTAACTATTGCCATAAAACTTAGAATTTAGTAAAATATAACAGGACATAAAAGCAATTTTATTTAAGTCTAGAGTCACCTTATTACTATCTTGTAGGTAAAACTTGTTTCCAAACTTAAATGTAAGCATATGTAATTATTATAAAATAATGAAAAGAATATAATTAGTTAAAAGATTTTTTGCCTACTCTTTCTGTTGAAATCTACTTCCTTACTAAGTTAGCATGCAAAACTACAAATATTTTATAATTAAAGTTTAGTTATCTATGCCTGTAATATTTTTAAAGAATTTAAAACTTTTTTTAAAAGAGCACATTTATTATCAAGAGTAATATGAAGTGCTTTATGATATTTCAGAAATGCTGAAGCCTCTTTAGCCTCAGTTTTTTGAAGCATGTTTTTGTGCAGATTTTCTAGCCTTGTATGTAACCTTTGTTTCATCTCTTCCCTTTTTAATTTTAATTTTGCCACTTTCCCACCTCTCATTTTTAGAAATTAGCTTCTACAATACATGAAAAGTTATGAGTAGGCAGCTATCTAATATGTATTTTCATTAAGCACAGTGTATACTGTTTTCAGACATTTTAATCCTGTCCATAGTAACATGAGGCAGCTGGCATTACCCAGATTTCACAATGGGAATACTGAAGTTAAATGAGATTTTTTTAAATCAGGGGACTAGTAAGTGACAAAGACTTAATTGTAGCCCATGTTTGATGATTTAGCAGTTCATACTCTTTCACCTGTACCATGTTTTATTTTTAAATATGGTAGTGAAAACTGTAGATTGTCGTTTTTTATGGATTTCTAAAATGTTAAAATTTTCTCTTTAGATTAAATTGCTCTTACAAGGGAAAAAAAGCCTGCAAAGAAAAAGCCAAAATGTCTAAATCGATTGCCTAATTTAATTACAGTTGACCCTTGAACAACTTGGGGGTTAGGAGCACAATCTTCCCCTCCCCCGCACAGTCGAAAATCCACATATAACTTTGACTCCCCAAAAACTTAACTACTAATAACCTAATGTTGACCGTAATGCCTATTGATAACATAATCTATTAATATTTTGTATGTTATATGTATTTTATACTATATACGTACAATAAAGTAAGCTACAAGACAGAAAATGTTATTAAGAAAATCATGAGGAAGAGAAAATACATTTACAGTAGTGTCGTATTTATTGGAAAAAAATCCACATATAAATGGACCTGCGCAGTTCACACGTGTTGCTCAAGTGTCAACTGTATAATTTTCCTCACTTCTTTAAACTTTTCTGAATGTTCCATATATTTTATAATGAGCAATATTGTTTTTATAATTAAAAATTACAGATTACAAGGAAAAAATACATTGTACAATCCTGTTTATTCCCTGAAGTGTTAAATAGTATATCTTAAATATTCTGATTTCTAAGATTCTGTTAAGGTCCTTCCACTTTTAGAAGTCCATATGCTACCTGCTCTTAGTATTCTGCTCTCTCTTCATTCTAGATTAACTTCCTTCAGTTACAGGTTACTGGACATTTCTCCTTTGCTAGCATACTCAGGAAATGTACACTCATTTTAATATTAGCCCAAGTTAAATGTTTCCCCAAAATTTGTTCAACAAAAAGGATTTGTGTCAAGTTAAATACCGGAAACTATGGCTTAAGCAGGTTTCTTAACTGAAATACCTTTTGGAACATTTTGCTAAGTATGCATTGTAATCTTTCAGAGCGGAAGCATTTCCCAAACTTGTTTGACAAGGAAACTCCTATTTCTCTAGAACATGTATTAACATCTTTTAGAACTAGTGTCCACAAGACTAGATTGGGGAACACTGGCATTAGCAAACTATTATTAGGAAAGTAAGTGGAGAAAGTGGAAAGAAAGAAGTAATGTTAATGATTTTTTTTTTAATATAGTTAATACCATGAGCCCTGGCTTGGTAGCATGAAAAAAAGAAATACAGTTGACCCTTGAGCAACACGGGTTTGAACTGCACAGTTCCACTTATTCGTGGATTTTTTTCAATATATATGCTGGAAAATTTTTTTGAGATTTGTGACAATTTGAAAAAGCTCACAGATGAACAGCATAGCCTAAAAATGTTGAAAAATGAAGAAAAAGTTAGGGATGTCATCAATGTATAAAACATATTGGGTCGTCGGGAAAGTCATGATGTATTTTTCTTATGTTTTTCAATGCAAAAATGAGTCATGACTTTCCTGACAACCCAATATATAGATATTAATCTATTTGGACCATTTCTACCATAAAAATATATACAAATCTATTATAAAAGTTAAAATTTATCAAAACTTACAGACCATACATGATATCATTCACAGTGGAGAGAAATGTACAAACATAAAGATGCAGTATTAAGTTGCAACTGCATAAAATTAACTCGTACATAGTATACTACTGTAATAATTCTGTAGCCACTTCCTATTGCAGTAAACTCAAGTGTTTTGAGTATCTGCTTAAAACACCATGTGACGCTAATTTCTACGTGAGTAGTTCGTCTCTCCAGTAAAAAGTGACTGGCTCTTGCATATATTTCATCATATTTAGTGCAATACCATAAACCTTGACTAGCACCATGGGACCCATACGAAGCGCCTCTTGTGATCCTGGAAGTGCTCCCAAGCAGCAGAGAAAAATCATGACATTACAAGAAAAAGTTAAATTGCTTGATATGTACTGTAGATTGAGGTCTGCAGCTGTGGTTGCCCGCCATTTGAAGATAAATGAATCCTGTGTAAGGATCATTGTGAAAAAAGAAAAGGAAATTCATGAAGCTGTCACCGCTGCTATGCCAATGGGTGCAAAAACCTCGCACTTTTTGCGAGGTACCTTATTCTCTCATATTGAAAATGCAGCTTCTATGTAGGTGCAGGATTTCTATAAGAAAAGCATATCTTTAGACGCTAATATGATTCGAGAAAAAGCTAAGTCATTATATGACAACTTAAAGCTAGAGAATTTTATGCTAGCAAAGGATGGTTTGATAAGTTTAGAAAGAGGTTTGGCTTAAAAAATATCAAGATAACAGGAAAAACAGCTTCTGCCGACCAAGAGGCAGCAGACAAGTTCCCAGACACGATTAAGAAAGTCATTGAGAAAGGATAGCTGCCCGAACAGGTTTTTAATGCAGAGCTAATAGACACCACACCAGAGGAATTAACAGAAGATGACTTGATGGAGATGAGTGCTTCCAAACCAGTGCCAGAGGATGAGGAAGAAGACAGAGAAGAAGCAGAGCTAGAAAAGAAAATGACATTATACAATCTGGCAGAAGGGTACCAGTTATTCAAGGTGGCTTTTGATTTATTTTACAAGATGGACTGAATATGATACGGCACTGAAACTAAAATAAACGGTGGAAGAAGGAATGACATCTTCTAGAAACATTTTTAGAGAAATGAAAAAGCAAAAAAATCAGACTTAAATTGCAATGTATTTTCATAAAGTTACACCAGATGCGCCTACCTCTCTTGCCTCCCCTTCCACCATCTCCACTTCTGCTGCCTCTCCTGGGACAGCAAGACTGACCCCTCGACTTCCTCTGCCTACTCAACATGAAAATGACAAGGATGAAGACCTTTATGATGATCCACTTTCACTTAATGAACAGTAAATCATCATGCTGTACAGTTAGTAAACCTATCTGTTGTGTGTGTCTTCATGTGAAAATCTAATAACTACATCAAGAACTGTATGAGATGTTTTTTTGTCGTCATCATCATCATCGCCTGATTATTCATCATGTAGAACATCATGTACAAAAGTTGTATTGTGAAGTGGATAGCCTATCCTTACATAGGCATAGGTAAGTGATAATATAAAATTAATAACGTGTTCGTTTTCTTACTGTTTTATAACTTTGCTTTCAAAGAATTACATTACCATGCAGCATGCCTCTTTCTATCATAATTGGAGAAACTGCTTATCAGCCTATTATCACAGGTAGGTGGTTTTTAAAAAAGTATAATACTGTTTCCAATACAGCATTATGAATATGACTGTAATAGTGTATGCCATAAAAATTTTATAACAATTCATCTGTGTATAGGCTAGGCTATTGTGACACAATCATACCAGTTACATGATACTACCATATTGCTGCTTCTCTGTTATATCAATGCATGAATTGTTATACCTGAAAATCAGTATGAATTACTTTTGCACATTATCTTTCTAGTGTTAGTAATATACATATATTATGTAATATAATATAACATCTACAGTGTTTTATGTAATATGAGATACAGGTACTGACAGACAATTCATCTTGTAAACAGATGACATAAAATTAACAGTATCAATAAGTATAGCACAGTACTATAAATGTATTTTCCTTACGATTTTCTTAACATTTTCTTTTCTCTAGCTTACTTCGTTATAAGAGTACAGTATATAATACATAGAACATACAAAATATGTATTAATTGTATGTTATCCATAGGCTATTAATAAAGTTTCAGGGGAGTCAAAAGTTATATACACAAATTTTCAAGAGCTTGGCGGGGGGGGGTTGATGCCTCTAACCCCCACATATTTTTTTCTTTAACATTCCAAGGAGTTCATCTGTTGTCTACTACCCAGAATATTCTATTTGTGGAGCCTAAATGTTTCCACAGAACCCAACTCAACTATCAGACTATGATCAAATATCAACAACTATGACCCACAGAATCCAATTAAAATACCACAGACTATGATCAGAATGCTTCCAGCAAGTTTGGGGGCACATGATGACAGGTAAACTTTGGAATCATGGATTTGGTAAGGAAATACCAGGGCTGCATTACTACCAGAATAATTATTTATTCATGAATTCTTTATGTAGTATAGTAAAGTAATCTTTATAGGATCAAATTTATTTTAACTTAGTATTTACATGAATTTTGGTCCTAGATGTACATTACCATTGTAGGTGTAGTTCAATGAATAACTAATGAATATAATAACAGTTTTATTGAGATCTTGATTTAAAATCACCTTCCAGGCCTTATTCAATAGAACTAACTAAATGTTATTTAAATCTTTTGTTAGTGTACAATGGCCATGTTGGGTATTCATTCTATTATCATTGTCATTGCGATTGGTGGTAGAACCAGGGACCAAATGGCTGTGGAATCTAAGAGCTTGCTCTTTTGAAAAAGGCTTTTATATAAACTTGCTTTTTAAACATATGCCTCTGGCTCATTAAGAACTAATATTTTTTCAAAGATGTCACTGTACTCTACAGAGCAATGTCACTTAACTGCCTTCGTAAAAAATTAATTATTGAATCAAGAGCCAAAGCAACCTTCTCCCAAGTGATTCTTCCACTCTCTTATAAAAAGAAAAGCTTCTTTGCAGCTACAAGAGAGATTTTTGATGTGTCAGCAGCACCTTGCAATGTTTCATCTTTGATTTCCATACTACATAAAAATGGTAGTAAAGCCATTTTATCATTTTGTATTACCTCTCCTACCTCATTTATACAATGTTGGTATAAAATTCCAAGAATACCTGAAACTAATAATATGTGTCAGTTACACTCAATTTAAGAAGGAAAAAAAGAATTAATGATCGGCTGTTTGGAAAGATTCGTTCAGATTCAGAACCCTACAATTTTTTTATGTTCAGGTTTTACATGTCTAGGCAAGACAGCAGTGCACTTTTTTTGAACTCCTCTTTAACACATAGCAATAAAAAATAGTTTGTTCTCACTAAAAATTAATAATGTTATTTTTATTTAGAGCAATGTGATTGAATTTTTTTTTTTAAGAATTTTTGTTTAATGAAACTTTTGGAAGAGATTAGAAAATTCTTCTTCCGTGTATTTAAATGTAGAGATGTGAGATTTATATACATGATGTTTATCCTCTTTTATAACAAAATTATGTAATAGTAAAGGAAATTATGAATATCTTTTTTAAAAAAGATCTCTCCATAGCATAAGGTTTTTTAAGCAGTTACTTTTTTTTTAAGATTTTTGTTGGGTAATTGGGGGAAGGGGAACAGACAAGTTGCTGTCCTTTTGTTCTTCAGTCTAGTTGTGGAGGATGTTACTTCACTGGCCCAAGTTGGCACCATCCTTGCTTGTGTCTCATTAAAAGTTGCTATTGGTTCACTGGGATAATTTTAGAAGTGTGGAAGACATGCGCTAAAGTTATTGCCCTACACACGAGAACTTAATTGCACTATGAGGTTCTTTGACCTATTTACTTTCTTCAATCCATTTTGTGCCTATGGTAATGAGAACTTGAAATAGACCCTAGTCAGTGGGAAAGACAGCACCCTCTGCTTTTCAATTAAATTATCCAGTTCAACAATTTCTTTACACCAATGCTATCACCAGATGGAGGGAAGGACCAATCATATCTATAGTTGACACTTGATTTTCTTTTCCAAATTCTAAGCCCTTACTGATTTTTCTCATGCCAATTTGCTGGGGGAAAATGTTCGCTTTCTTATTCAAGAAACATAATTTCCTCCTGGCATGGGTAAAATTAAAAACCTGACTAAGGCAGACTTCTTACGAAAATTTGTTTTTTGAAACTAACAACCTTAAATGTTTCATTATGACTGCTTTTCAGAATAATCAAAATTGCCTAATATATAAATTTCATTTTATCCATGCAATCAGTAAGGAAAGTGTAAATGCAATGTTATCTTGTCAAAATACACAGTTTAGAAGCATGCAGTATTTTTTTCTAACAGAAATAATGCATTTTTTTCATTGTTAAATGAGTATGGGCAAAAGTGAGAACTGAATTCTCACAAATAGCCCTATTTTTATAATGCTAATAACATGGTACCTGCTAATCACCAGTTGGGGATGTCATTACATCATCTGCTCATATTCAGGAGTCTTCAAATAGCCTTCATATCACGAATCAAAGGTAAATATTAATCAAAGAGCTCTAAATTCCAGGCCAAACAGAACCTGTACTTTCTTATTTACTAGAAACTTTAAAAAAGGGAAGAATTTGGATCAAGAAGGACTCAGGAAAATGTCTTTGGTGAAACTCACTTGAGGAGGGTCAGTTTTAGCTCAGGAGATTTCTGGGACTTATTCTGGAAGCCTCATAGGATTCCAAGAGACTCTATCTCAGGTAGCACAGCTTCAATTAAAACTCCAAGAGACTGTCCTCTCCCCATCCTCACATAGAATGTTTAGGCCCACGCAATGAGACATATGAATGAGGAGGCAGATCAGTCGCCGGCTTCTGGACAGTTGCCCATGGCAACCCACTGCAGCAGGGGCTGCAGCAGGGGCTGCAGCGTACCTCTTCCCTTCGCCAGAAACTCACTGCAGCCCAGCCCAGCTCCAGGTTGAGCTGTTGTTCAGCATCTTAGCTGTAGAGGGCAGCATCACTCGCCCTCATGTGGGATCCGAACCCTGGTCCTCTGGCGCCCCAAGCCAGCTCTTAACCAGTGCACCACTCGGCCGGCCCTAAGCAGTTACTTTTTTAGTAATTGTTAAGATGTTAGCTATACCATGAAGTTACCAGTTGTGTTTTGTTTTGTGTTTCTTTCTTAATGTATCTGCTAAGTAGCTTGTGAGAGCCACTTGTTATCTCAGTAAAGTTAATCAAGTTTAGAACACTTGTCATTTTGTAAAAGAAAAATCCATAGTTTGTCTTAAAAGTTCAACAACTTATTTAAATATTTTGCCAGTGTTTTACAATTCTATTTTCTGTCTTCTATAATGTTTGAATTTTTCTGTCATCAATAATTACACAATTCCTTTTCCATTACCTTCTTGCCTTCTCAATTGAATTGTCTAAAAGTCAGTTCTATTTTTTTCTTCAAGATCTACCTTGGAACTTTGTGTCTTGTGTGGTTATAGGGACGAGTTGCTCTCTAGCAGTTCCAGGTACCTTGTTGTTCAGAAACTTCCCTTCTTCATCAGCCCAGGAATTCACATTTCCTCTCTCCTGTGTTAAATGTCTTGTTTCCTGTGTTGCGTCCTTTGTTTTGGATTTATACCCTAATTTTAGAAGAGCCGTCATCAATATGAGGTAAAATTGTTGATACTTTGCCCATCTGAAAATTTGTCCTCATATTTCATAGTTTGCCTGGTTATCCCTTCAAGGTTAGAAACTAGCCTCTAGCTTCCAATGTTACTGTTAAGAAACCAAATGCCATTTTATTTACAGTCCTTTGATTGTGACTTTTTTCCTTCATGAAGATTTAACTTTTTATTTTATATTTTTGGTTTGGTTACTTTACTTACTTTTATTTTGTTGTGGTAAAAACACAACATGAGATATACTCTCTTAAATTTTTAAGTATGCAATACAGTACACAGCATACCCATAAAGTAGGGAGTCTTTAGTATTTCCTCCTCATCTCTGGAGTTCTAGAATTTTAGATTAATGTAACTTGATGTGTATTTTTACCCCCACATTGTGCTGGGCGCACTCAGGGGGCTCTTTCAATATAGAAGCTTATGTCTTTCCATTCTGGGAAATATTCTAATATAGTTTCTTTGATCATTTCTCCCCTCCATTTTGTTGTTATTTTCTGTGAAATGTCTGTATTGATCCTCTAATTTTCTTAACCGTTTCTGTTTAGTAACCATTTTTTCCTAGTTCCTGTTATGTCAACTCATCTCTGACTTTCCTACTGAATATTTTATTTCAGCAATTGTGTTTTTAGTTTCCATAACTTTCTTATTCTGTGATTGCCCACACCACCTCTTACTCATTCAGGTGTAATATCTTTTAACTTGGAAAAAATCAGTTTTATTTTTTGTTCTTTTCAGGGTTACTGTTTTCTCCAAGTTCCATATGTTTTAGTCTGTTGCTTATGTTAGAAGCTTTCTTCAAAGCTCTGATAACCTCTAAGTCTTCATTCATATTGTAGAGTGAATGAAGCACAGCAGTGCTGCCTGAAAGCTGTATGTGAGCAGGTGGGGTTGTAGACTGGTGAGCTTCTGCGTGGTTGGCTTGCCTTCCAGCTTTTTATTGGAGGATTCCCAGAGAGAAGCAGCATCTATAGGTCTTTTCTCTTTGACCACTATATTTCTCCAGCAAAGTACCTTCCAGTCTCCTATTAGGAGGTATAAGACTGGGAGCTGGATGGAAGAAGGGAGCAGGGAACTTTCATTCTGATTTTAGTCCCAAGCCTCCCCTCTAACTTTCTATGTCTAGTATCCAAAGTCCTGAGCCTCACTGGTTCAGTTTCTCCAAATAATAAATGTGTCATCTGGAGATTAAGAACTGGAGGGATCTAACTGCTCTTATGCAGATTTTCAACCCACCTCCCCATTTTCCACCCTGTTCTCCAGCCACACTTTCTGTAGCGTTTGGTGCCTCTGGGTCTTGGATGTCCCTGCTGTCGCACAGCCATGTTGCCTCTGTGCCTGCATCACCCACCTCTCCACTGCTGGGTCAGTTATTGCTCCTCCATTCATGTTCTGTCCTGATGTTTTATGACTCAGGTTATAGAAACCTGTCAGTTTCATTGAAGATGAGGTTGGTGTTTTTATTTCTCACTTTTTCTTGGTTTGGACTGAGAGGATGGAGCAAAAAGATTTTCACTCAACCATTTTCAAACTGGATAATTATTTCTTTCATAATCATTAAAAAACAGAAAGCTGTTTTCATTTTGAGGGGAAATCACGTTACACTACTCATTAAGAAATGTAATAATGGAAAGCAGCAGTTATTACTAAAGGAAGCGTTAGAATCACTAAAAGATTTTGTAAGAGACTTGGTTGTGTTCGAAGGCAGAGAAAAACTGAGAGGGAAAAATTGAAGTAGGCCCTAGTAAAGGTAGGAAATGTTCTCAAGAATAGAGATAGAGAGCTTAACTACAACACAGAAATGAAGGAATAAATGACAATACCAAGGTAGCAAAGGAGGCAAGATGAGGGAGCTCACCCCAGTGGAGTATATGACCAATTTTAGGTTATATAGCTTAAAAAATAAAAACAAAAACCTGCTATTTTGATACTTTTTTAGTAAGTAAAAGCACCAGGCATTTCAAACCTTACATGATAATGTTTTTCACATTATCAAGCTGTATTAAAAATATTGAAATTACGCAGTAGTAACAAAAAATATCTGCTTGGGGCTCCTTTATTATATTTTTACCTTAGACAATAACAAGTAAGTGTCTCTTCTAATCACTGACTTCATTTTCTTCTACCTACTTTGTTGCTTCTGCTTATTTTTGTTCAATGGAATTTAGTCAATGAACAACCAAAGCATACTGTTGAGTATAATTTTGGTGTACTCAATAATGATGCTTCTTTCAAAATTAAATTTAAAAATATTTTTCCTATTGATTTTAAATAATTATATACCAGTGAGTTCACTAAATCAAAATAATAACTGTAATCACTAGATGTTTTTCAGTGAAAGAAATGGAGTACTTTATATATAGCAAGTCTGTGTGTTTAGTTCACACTTTTAAACACGTGACAATCATATTTGCCACTGCAGATGCTTGTTTCAAACATTACTGTTTTTAAAATAGATTCAAGTGGCTCTAAACATTTACTTAACTGTTGGGATTGTTAATGTTCCTCAAACATAATCAGAAACGTGTAATCAGCATGTTTAGTGCGATTGATGTTCTTAGTCACAACATTCAATTTTAATTTCAAAATATTTGAAATTATAGACCCCTTCCCCAATTTTGGACTTAAATCTTTTTCCACCTAAGAGTAGTTAACTAAATTCCATCTACAACCAATCATTACTATTACTCTTAATAACTCTCAATACCTTACATTGTAAATTTTAGTATATCTAGTCAATTTCATAAGGAAGGCATTGCCCTATAGAAATTTATCTGCTTGCTTTTCATAATTATCAATACAGGAAAATGTGTGTATGTGTGTAATACCAAATTTTTATCTAATTCTATATTTTCTGAAAACTGCCTAGACTGATAGTAAAGTTGGCCAGTTACTGAAATGAGTTGACAAAACTGTGTTGGGAATGCTTGCATGGCGTTTGTACTCTTCAGTGGCGATTATTTGTTTAATAAATTCTTAATAGCTTTTATAACTTAAAACTTAATATTTTCAATCAGTAGGAGTAAAAACAAGGAGAGAGAAGTGGGGAAACTGTAGGGCGGTGCTCCTCAAACACCAACTGATAGATTTTTCACTGTCTCTTACAATGGATTTACTGGGCTGCTATGAAATTTTTAAAAATAAGGGCAGAAGAGACTGCCACAAGATGTACCTCAAGACTAGAAACGATTCACATTTTGAGCATATATTTAGGCTGAGAGGGGGCTTGGCTTTTACCAATCTATAATACATTGAAAATTCGCTGTGGGAAAGGAACTCTGATACTTGACTCCATGGCACTATGAAATTATTAGTTTATTTAAGTACTCTTATCTTTTTCATATACTAATTATGCTTTTTTAATCTTGTATCTAATTGAGGCTTAATATGTAAAATATACAATGTGAATGACAAATGATTAATGATTTTTCTCCCCCTTTAGATACATCCAGAAAGTACCCAGAAGAAACTTCCTGCCAGAAAAACTGAAAAAACAGTATTTATAACACTGGAATTTGCGGCTCATTGTTAAAATGGCAGAAAATAATGAAAATAATAATAAAAATTTAGATGTAAGGCCCAAAACTAGTCGGAGTAGAAGTGCTGACAGAAAGGATGGTTATGTGTGGAGTGGAAAGAAGTTATCTTGGTCAAAAAAAAGTGAAAATTGTTCAGATGCTGAAACAGTGAATGCTGTAGAAAAAACTGAAGTTCCTTTAAGGAGCCAAGAAAGAAAGCACAGCTGTTCATCCATCGAATTGGATTTAGATCATTCCTGTGGGCATAGATTTTTAGGTCGGTCTCTTAAACAGAAACTGCAAGATGCTGTGGGGCAGTGTTTTCCAATAAAGAATTGTAGTAGTCGGCACTCTTCAGGGCTTCCATCTAAAAGAAAAATTCATATCAGCGAACTCATGTTAGATAAGTGTCCTTTCCCACCTCGATCAGATTTAGCCTTTAGGTGGCATTTTATTAAACGACACACTGCTCCTATAAATCCCAAATCAGATGAATTGGTAAGCACAGACTTGTCTCAGAGTGAACTGAGGGATGGTCAGCTAAGACAAAGAAGAAACATCGAAGAAGAGATGAACTGTTTCTCACATCCCACTGTTCAGCCCTGTGTCATAACCACCAACAACGCTTCTTGTAGAGGTGGTCCTATGTCTGGCTCTGTGATGAACCTGGTTTCAAATAACAGTATAGAAGATAGTGATATGGATTCAGATGATGAAATTATAACACTTTGCACAAGTTCCAGGAAAAGAAACAAACCCAAATGGGAAATGGATGAAGAAATCCTGCAGTTGGAGACACCTCCTAAGTACCACACCCAGATTGATTACGTCCACTGTCTCGTACCAGACCTCCTTCAGATCAATAACAATCCATGTTACTGGGGAGTTATGGATAAATATGCAGCTGAAGCTCTACTAGAAGGAAAACCAGAGGGTACCTTTCTACTTCGAGACTCAGCACAGGAAGACTATTTGTTCTCTGTTAGTTTTAGACGCTATAGTCGTTCTCTTCATGCTAGAATTGAACAGTGGAATCACAACTTTAGCTTTGATGCACATGATCCTTGTGTCTTCCATTCTCCTGACATTACTGGGCTCCTAGAACATTATAAGGACCCAAGTGCCTGTATGTTCTTTGAACCACTTTTATCCACTCCTTTAATTCGGACTTTCCCCTTTTCCCTGCAGCATATATGCAGAACAGTTATTTGTAACTGTACAACGTATGATGGCATTGATGCCCTTCCAATTCCTTCTACTATGAAATTATATCTGAAGGAATATCACTATAAATCTAAAGTTAGAGTACTCAGGATTGATGCACCAGAACAATGCTAGGTAAAGAGTAGGAACATGGGAATTTGGTATTTTATTTTTCTTATATGCCATTTTGAATTTTTCTACTAGGGTAGTTAGAGTCCAGAATAAACCTCTGCCCTAAATTTTGCTTCCAGATCAGTTTATTTTTCTTATGCTACGCTAATTGTTCAAGGTTACACACTAGGGATTAATTGTTTAAGGTTATACACTAAGGATATTTGTGACCAGATGTTTGGTGTTTGATTTTACCATGTAGAGTGTATACTTAATTTTTTTTCTTTTCTTAATTGTAATTTGCATATGATCCAGGGATATTTGAAATTTGGTAGGCATTGTACACACAGTTAAATAATCTGTATTTCATACTTTCCTTTAGAAATAATCCTACGTCCTTTCCTACATGTAAGCCTTTGTTAGCCTATGCCATTGGCACTCCTACACATAAAATATAGTTTTCCCATCCCCCTTTTCAGAGCTTTAAAATTCTTCAGTAAAGCTAGGTGTGTTGTAATTCATAATCCATACTAATATAGTTGACTTTTGTAATTTATTAATAGGGATGTTAAAGATAACAAAAAGGCTTAAAATCAAACTTGATGTGTTTTCATTTTAAATATTAACTATAAAGCAGGATTGCTAAATTTGATTAATCTTGTCATTAAGAATCAAATAACATTTTGGAGGTGAATTTATTCTACAATGTGGCGTGATCATTTGTTATTCCTTAAATAGATCTTTCTCACAACCTGGAGGAGTTACCATCTTCAGAACATAAGTATTGTTCCTTTCTCACTGGAAGCTTTAAAAATAATGATAATACTGTTAGTAACTAGTAGTTACTAAAGTACTAAAGCAGCTATCGGGTTATTTTTCTGTATTTATTTATGAACTATTGCTTCTACTTAGCCCTTTTATAGAAACTCTGAGCCTGTTATTTGGAGAGATGCCACAGTTTATAAACAGACACAAATTTCCATTGGTAACCAAAGACTACCTAAGTCGTTTTTCATTATTTTAAATTGAGCTTTAATAAAGATTCGAAAAGTAAATATGGAGCTTAGTATTCAGAAAGCTTAATATTGTTTTTGATCTTCAAGTTTCAAATGATTATTCCTTATCTTCAGAATTAACATGTCTACTGTGGTTTCAGAAAAAGGAAAACATTTTGAGAGCTACACGACTTATGCCATACTGAACAGTACTGGGCACCCAGTCTAATATTTTAAATTTATTATCCTGAGAACAGAAAAGCATTTTTAGAAACATCATTATCCCAATATAATAAGATAAATGGAGTGATATCCTATCCATCCCCTCTTTTTAAAAGAATCCATGAATAATAAATTTCCTAGACAGTTGTTTCTTCTGGTGAGCTGTTTACCCCTTTGTAAATTGGCATTCTTAATATCATAGTAATTGATTTCTTAATGCCAGTTTAGCTCTAGTAGGACGCTGCTTCTAACTAGGTTGAAAGAAATTTGACTCAAATTTCCAAGTTAGATATTTCTTAAGTATTATTGCTTTTATGTTGAAGAAGCATTTCCCTTTCATGCAGTTCTGCTAACAAAGATGGCATTTTTCAATAACAGTGTTAAATTTTTAGCAATTATCACAAAATTAAAACAAGGAAATCTGGTACCGTTATCTTCTAGCATTTTTTTTCTCGGTGATCTCAAGATTGTCTTGGTTCCAGTGAAAGGTAGCTACTAAAATAGCACCTCTCTTAGCAGTGATGAGGCTCAGGATATCATAACACCAATGTCAGGGTATCTCTTCTGAAGATGATATTTCCCTTTTACAAAAGAAGTCTCATACTACCTCATCTTTATTGTGGCACTTTTGTAGATCACTGAGGAGCTTATCTTATTTACCAATATAACACTTCCTAAATATTCATCTTTGGTGGAAGAAAATTAATAGTATGGTAAGACTACCCATGATTATAATTTTTTATCAGAATTTGATAAGAGACTTTCTGTTTCTGTGAAACAATTATTTTAAATATTTTTCTTTTAAAAATAACTTTTTATCAGTACAGACAAACCTAAGGGATGACAAGCTAACAAATATTCTGTTAAAGGGTAATTTTATAAAGAAAAATGAAGTATAATTATGTTATCTTTTATAATGGTAAAAATTAGTGTTTATATAAAAATCAAGATCTAAGTAGCTTTATATATAGTCAGACTGGTTGTGATATATTTTCTCTGGCTTTCTTATTTTTTCAACTTCAAGGTATTAATAGCTGTTAACATTTTCAAAATACTGCCATATATATATAGCCTTGAAGTAGATGATCTAGTAAATGAGAGCAGGGAAGAGACTCATTTACTCTGGAAATGGTTCATATTTTTCCTTTGGTATTTGCTACAGTGAAAAGTAATCTGGAAAGTAGAAATATAAAGACTTGAGAAAGGAGTTGTTTACCATGAAGGAAAAAAGAAAGTAATAATAAATTTTTTAAAGCATTAAAAGAGATTGGAATTTAGAAAGGTTAACCCTTTCTTTTCTCAGTTACTTTGTGAGGACATATTTGGAAGAGCATCCAATATTCAGAAACTTTTAAAAATGTAATTATTAGAATATATAGGTCAAATTAGTAAGTTTAGAGAGGAACAATGTGGGAATATATAAATATATCTAAATATAAATTTTGTAACTCTACATTAGACATTGTGAGTATTTGAAAAGTGTAAATTCTGGAGTTAAGAAAGCACTCAGCATGGTGGAAATGTGTAGAGCTCATTGGTAAGAGAGGATGAGGCTAAAAGAAACAAGATAAAATATTAAAATTAAGAATTTAGGCATTACCTCAGGGAAAAGCCTTGACAAGGAAAGGGAACTGCTTAATCGCTAATAGCTAGTCTGGACCAAACACTTAACTGTGCTTTGGGAATCATCCTGAACTAATCAGGAAATAAACTTGACTGTTCTGTTTCTCTCTGAAGCTTTTCAGGACATTAACCACACTCCCCCCACCCCGCTTTTAAGCCACAATATCTACATTCATACTATAATTCCTGAATATGCTGATGGATTTTTTTAGGTTCCTTGAGCATTTTTTGTGTGAATAATTATATGTGATCTATCTATAACTATGCCATTCACTTAAATAATGCATAGAGGGAATGGTTTAATTTAAAGGAAGACCTAATAGGAAGAAGATTAAAGGAAGCTTTTAGTCAGCCTGTGGCTAGATTTATTGATTTGGTGGTCAGACCTGTGTTCTTTCCTGAATTTCAGCTAATGGCAAACTGTGGTTAAAGAATGACTTTCAGTTCAAATTTTGACTTCTTATTATAAATAATATAAAGAATGTCTTAGTAATTAGAAATCTTTTAAACAGAGCAAATGTGGCAAATAGGACTCATATCATTATACAAATCCCATTTTTATAAGAAAAACAAACCATTATAATTTATTCATAAGCCAAAGCCATTAAGAAGATAAATCAAGTTATCAGCTTCCTGTCTCTGAAGTTTGGATCATTTTATAGATCAACATAATAAAGAGCATCCTTCCTATGAAACAAAAATCTTGAGACCTAACTCAAATATACTCTTAGTTTTCATTTAAAATATTTGTCATTTTTAAGCTATAATCAGAGTCAAATCGGTTATGTATTGTTTTGGTAGAGCAAATTTCACAGGAAAGTAGACTTAGAATAATTGTAAGACATTCCTGGAGACAACACAAGGAAAACTTTAAATTTAGAATACCCTATGTGTTAGATAATGTAATACCCAAATGAATAAAAGATTTGAAGTCAAGCAAATTGTTTCTACTTTGGAAAAAAAGCTTTACAATTTTGGTTTTAATGAGTTTTACCTTCATTTCTAAAGAATGAACAGAAAGCACAAAGGATTTTTCTTTTTCTTTAATGGCATACTAGAAATGAGCAACACTACAAGAGTCTGTTTATACTATTCTAATACATTAAGATACTAGACACTAAAGAGGTAACTTTGACATGGATTGGCTTCTAGGTTGAAATGTAGACAAATGGATATAACCCAATGGAAAGGGATTTAGGGCACATGAGTCTTATTTCAAATAAAGCCAGATTCTGTTTTTCATTAACTTTAATTTTGAATAGGATACTCAATTCTAAATTTTTCTTTGCCTTCATTCCCTAGCATATAAAATGTAGATAATACTTGTCACTTGACTTCTGAAGGCTAATTCTTCAGTTAAAGAGATGACCCTTGGAGCATACTTGAAAATAATTTCTGTACAGCTGTTAAGTACTAATGTGATAATAGGTTTTCAGAGTATCCCCTTAGTGAACCCTGAAGATTCACATTCACTTATTTTAGTCTGTAATAGGCTTTCTTGGCTTGATATGACAATAAAGATAACAATACAATTTGAATTTATGATTTAGACTCAGCAATTAGATGAAAGAGTTGCAATTTCCTCCAACTCTTAATAAGGTTTATGTAAAATTGATGTTCGCCTAAGTTATTTTAAAACTTGATTACATTTGCAGGAAGTAAAGATACAGGCATACCTCATTTTATTGTGCTTCACTTTATAGTACTTCGCAGATACTGGGTTTTTTAGAAATTGAAGGTTGTGGCAACCCTGTGTTAAGCAAGTCTCTCGGCACCTTTTCCAACAGCATTTGTTTACTT